GACAAAGTGTCAGTTGACTTGAGGGCCTTTGCCACTCAAGTGATGGAGGTGACAGGCTGGTTCGGAACCATGGACAGAGGGTCAGGTTCCACAAAAGGAAGAAATTACTACTCTGTAGTGGACTCATGCGTTTTTCCCAAAGGGTGTCTCATGGAGTGTTGGTGTGAAAAATATGATGCTCAAAGGTCCAGTAAGTTTGGGAAATGCTGGGCTGAGCAAAATCAGGTCTCTTCACTGTGAGCCCTTAGTATGCTTTTATGCATCAGGCCCTTCCAAAAGCGTTTCCCAAACTTACGGGACCTTATTTTAGGCACCATCTTGGGCCTGATGTTCACAAAACCCCGAGCCAGAGGCTATATTTCGCATGCAGGACGGCACAGAGAGACAAGGAAGGGCAAGGCTAGAGCAGGTTCCCATGGAGGAGCCCAGAACTGTTCCTGTCTTGACCACTAAATCGCTCTGTAACCTTGGGCTACTTTCTTTTGCTCTCCGCACCTGTGTTTCCCTGTCCAGGAAATGCAGTGTGGTGCCTGGCACGTAGTCGATCCTTGGTAAATATTTGTTAAATGAACCAAGGAGAGGATTAGACTGGACTCTCTCACGCTTTTTTTTAGCTACACTGTCCTAATGATGGGAGAGTGCAGGCTCTGGGCCCCTTCGCCCGGACGTGAATCCATCTGCACCAACGATAGGCTGTTCAAACTTGGCCAACTCAGCAATCCACCTGCTTCATTTTTCTCCCCTGTAAGATGGAGCTCATGATAGTATCTACCTGAGAGGGTTGTTGTGAGGGTTAAATGGGGGACTCTATATAATTTATCATCCAAATTGGGACCATTTTGAGGGGGAAAGGGGCGCTGGTAATGATCATGCTCAGACAATAGGTATAAGCCTATTGACTGTCTCAGCCAAACCAGGACATAGGGTGACCTGAGGTTTCAATGAGGTAGTGCCTGAAACCTAGCAGCCATTCTACATATGTAGCTTCTATCATGTTGTCGTTCAACAAGTGCTGTGCAGAAGGCCAGGACAGGAAACAACTCAGAGTGGGGTTGCCCTAAGTTTCTGCAGAGCAGTTTGAGAACCATAGAGATTCCTTTCAGCTCTGCTGGGCCATACGTTATGATCCCCTGGCCTGCTGCCCTTCTCCCCAATGTCCCCGGGTCTCCCTGACAGCAGAGACCTCACCCCCTCCCATGTGAGCTGCCTCATCCTGATCCCAAATTTCCCATCAGCCCTTTGACGGAGCAAAGATAGAAGACTGGCTGCCTCTGTGTGCTGTGTGGGTTGTGGATTTCTCTTTCCCCAAGCCTCATTTGCATATGGTTTGCTTATATGTGCAGCCATGGGGATGGACTTCCTTACATCACCCTGAGAAGGGAGAGTTCCTACCATGTGACTGGAAGAGAAACTGAGGCAGTGTGGTTAATGATCTGCCCAAGACAGGTGGGGCAGGGCTCCTTTTGAAACTCCCCCTACACCTTTGCCCCAAAGAGGGAAAGAGCCTTAGGTGGTACAGGACGTGATTCCCAGGCTTTTTCCCAGCCTAGGTCGTAAGTGCACAGGAAGGGATCCAGGGCAGGAGACAGGGTACATGACAGAGCGTGTGTGGGGCCCCGGGGGGGGGGGG